GAACAACCTCCAAGTATTGACGAATCCGCAAATACTGAGCATCTGTGGCCAAGTTGTGGAAAAAACATGTTGGTGACAAGAATAAGGCCCTAATTTGCGTGAGCCCCTGTGATATTATCTTATCTGTCCCCAGGGTCCCTTTAGGCTCCTATATTACAACCCCTACGGAAACCCAGCTTCTATTCCATTGTCCAATCCCTTTTCCATCTTCGCTCTTCGCTATTCTCATCCTTTACGTCCTAACATCTCTAAACCCCAAACCCTAAAGAACATAGTATTGCAGTTTTCATGTTCTGTTCTACTCCCCCTAGTGCTATAGCTCCTCTTATAACCCTATATGTCCTTTCATAATCCTTCAACCCTGAACCCTGTAGCTCTACATGATACCCTTAAAGGGAGCCTGTTTGGGCCCTTCTGCATTCCATCTTCTCGTTTGAGAAAGTCCCGTTTGACAGTTGTCCAACACTCTGTAAACCCTTAGCCCTAACCCTAAACCCTGAGCTCTAGACCCTAAATCCCAAACCCTAAACCTTAAATCCTAAACCCTTGGCCCTTGGCCCAAGACCCTAAACCCGAAACAACCGTCTGACAGTTGTCCAACACTCCGATCGCACTGCCGAGCTGGGCAGATGCCATTGTCGCAGGTTCCATAGCACTGCCTGGCCTGATTATAGGGTTTTGGATTTAGGGATTCAGGGTTTAGGGATTTAGGGATTCAGGGTTTAGGGTTTAGGAATTTAGGGATTCAGGGTTTAGGGTTTAGGGGTTTTGCGTTGAGGTTTGCCGTGTTCCCTTGTCAAGGGATGGCACATTGATTTAGATAGGGCTTATAGGGGGATGCATAGGGTGAAAGAGAACACGGAAGCCTGAATGCATCAGGGTTTAGAGCTTTTGGAGGGGAAAACGGAAACTGAAGTGGACACTGACACCTGATTGCAGGATTTAGGGTGGGATTTAGGCTTGAGGATTCAGGGTAGGGGTTTAGGCTTTAGGGCTAAGCCTCTAGAGTTTAGGTTTGGGGTAAGCTTTGGGGTTTACGGTTTAGGACTTCACTGAGCAAATGACATGGAAGCTTCGATTGCATGGGGAAAGGCTTAATAGGAACACAGGGTTTCTGTTTATAATTGGTGCTTACGTGGGGGTGGTGGAGTGTCTTTCACTAGAGGTCCATATGAGCTCTAGTCTGAACTCCCAGTATCTCCCTTACTAGCCCTTTTCGTAGTCCCCTGTACCAATCCCCTATATAAGCCCCTTGAAGGAGTGTAGACTATAGCTCATATGGGGATGACATGGGGATAGCTGCAGGGCTGAGTTTCCCCACTCCCCCTTAAGCACTGGCGAGCAGTTGCTTGAGGAAGGTGGCGCTCCCAAGATGAGAGTTTTCCAAAGTGGGGCGGCCTGCTTTAAGGAGTTTAGGGTTTAGGAGTTTAGGGTTTAGGGGTTTAGGGGTTTAGGGTTTAGGGTTTAGGGGTTTAGGGGTTTAGGGTTTAGGGCTTAGGGCTTACTCAAGACTGGGAGTGCGGGGTCAATGCTGGAGAACCAAATTGAAAAGAACATGGAGAATGACGTTGAAACTGGGATTTGCTGCAGAGGGGGTTCAAAAAACTTAGGTTCATAAAGCAGACCTCATTCATGCTCAAACTCTTGAAGACCTCTGAGTTTTTTTGCGCGAAGCTGCTAGAAGGCATCTTCGCGACATTTCAGAATCCTAAATCCCAAAAAGTAATCTCACTGCGCCAGGTTCTTGGCTTCATTTTCGTGTTGGCCTTGAGTGGGGTCGCTGGCTCAATGATGCCCCTTTCGCTTGCTGATTTGTTCGTTCTCTGCTGATTGATAAAGTGCTGGTTCTAGAAGAAGGTGAACTCTGGCAAGTATAGCCGCAGTCATGACAGCAGCGATCATGCTAGACAGACAAACGGAATTGTTCAAAGCACTTGCTGTGTCCTCATCGTGTTCAAGCCTCTGAATCTCCATGGCACACCCCTAATCATTGTCATCACCCCAAATCCCAAGATTTATGGCGCATTTTTAGTGTTGAGTGATGCATCATCCATCGAACCCTGGCACGTGTGGTCGTGCGAGAGGCTAGCCCTTAACCTTGAGCTTGAGCTCTAAGCTCTAAACCCGTAGGCCTCGTAGAACTACATACCGGCCATGATTTATGCATCTCCAGAAGAAAATATACCCAGAACCTCAATACCAAGAGGAACTCCAGCTGCCGTCTTTGGACGAGAAGTTCACGCTGGATCGCTCCGCGCCGAGAAAAATCATTGTGCCTCCGGCCAGTCTGGAATTTGCGTGAATTTGCTTGTTTCATTTGGTTTAAATACGCTTTGTTGAGGGGAAAATTTGGGGATTTGTAGTTTGGGGTGTAGTTGGGGAGTTCATGGAATTGGCCTAATACCTCGGCTGTTGGACTGCATGGTTAGTCCTAGTTTGGTGAATTGCTGAGACTAAAGCCAACTGTTGTTACGTTGCGAATGCGCCACTGCGGGTTTCAGAGACCCAGAGACCGTAACGCGAGAAACCATTGGTTACATAATACGTAGTCGCAATGGTGGGAGATGTGGTGAAGAAACAGTATAGTGCACATGGCATTGTAACAACAAACAAGACGTATCAGGAACGGCGTGCATAATCGTAAGCCGAACACGGGTAAAAGAAACCGCCGTCGTCTACGCCCAGTACAGACGGTACCTGACACCCTGAAGATTCGAGTGCCCTACATGTCCTTATACCCCCAAACCCCAACCCGTGATCCCTAAACCTCACACACATTGAGCAGTTGCCAGGTGGCGCCGTTCACAGCTCCGCCTCCGTCCGCGGGCGATGTGCCCGCGGCTGCGCCAGTGCCGCCTGCGCCAGCGCCGCCGGCGTCAGCTGAAGATTCGGCGAGTGCGCAGACTGAACCATCTGAGTAATGTAGGCCCATGATTCATAAACTCCCTCCTTTTAAGGGCCTAATTTTTGGATCCCTGCAGGAGCCACTTGAGCCATCATCTAAACTCGTTAAAGGGGGTTAGAGAGGAGACTACTATCGAGGATATTAAGGGGGATACTGAGTTAGACAGTAGCTCACTTGATAACGCTTGCTCGCAAGTTTTCAATCGTGGTGACAGCAAGCTGTGGAAAGCGGCTGGTAGCAAGCAGCAACATCCAGGCAAATGCTGTTTGAGGAATCCTGGGACTTATGTGAACTGACTTTTACGAAAACTTAATGGGGGATATGTTGTTTTTGTAGGGTAATATATAGGGTTTAGGGTAGTAAACTGATTTGGGGATGTTACCTCCAATACTGGAGAATCAAATGGAATAGAAATGGAAACTTGGATTATACAGGGGCTTAGTAGGGGCTAGGGTTTTCCAAAATTAAGGGTACCATTTTGGGGGTCTCCATACTCAGGACCATATAGGGTCCCCAAATTTAGCGAAACTATCATTATCTGCTGGCCACGGCCGGCAGCAACAAACCCTAAACCCTAGCTTTGGCTCCTTGGGCTATTCTAATCGGTGCCCCCCAACCTACCCTATTGTGTTACAGTAGTTTCCATTATATTTGCCATCATCACCATATAACCCCAACAAAATACCCTATTATATTATAGTAGTTTCCATGCCGCTGCAGACCTGAAAAGCCGTGGAAAGCAGCTGTCACCAAAATTCTCTGTCGCAAACCCCCAGTCCCGGCTGTGCGTGCAAGTCAAATAGCTCAGAACCTGCGTGTCACAGCACAAACTGTTTGTCCAGTATGCCACGAGCTTCATGCGAAGACGGCTGCAACAAAGGCAGAGGACAGAACGCTTGGTGACTGTTAGAAGGTTTTCCCTATTGCGGATGGAGCAACTCTTGCACTTAGGGTTCAAAAGTCTTTCATGATTTTTTCATGAGCCAACGTATCGCAGCTTCTGGATTTCAAGGGCCCCGAGGGCCGCCTAAGGTCCCTGTGAGACCTTTGCCTGAGCACATCAGAAAGTTCCCTGAAAATACATTCAAACTTCAATTGGAGGCCCGCATTGATGGGCAGTCTGTCGTAGGTCTGACTTTGCTCTGATTGCTATGGACATTGCCCGTTGCAGCTGGGCGCGGCTCTTTCATACCGCTTTCTGGTTCAGGACTTCATGTTGTTTGCAGATGTTGGTCAGGTTTTCTGGATCTGTGGAGCTTTGGGGTGAGGGGGGTGGGTCCGCTTAGCCGACTGAACGCAGTATAACGCAGTGAAGAAACATGATCTCCTCTGTCGACACTGAGCCATTAAACTTGCTTATAGAGAGGGTAGATGGTGTGGCCTGTGCAGGATTTGCGGGAATGATGAGCTTTCCACATACTTTGGCGTCGCTTGACGACATTTGGGCTGTGAGGTTTGCCAGCGCGAAACGCTTTCTCATGACAGCACTGCGTTTGGAGATGGGAAGGCTGCCTTATGCTGGGCTCTGACGGCTTCATAATTGCCATCAGGTGACACGGTGAAGGTTTCGGAGGTCCCGCGTTGAGTGAATCCGAATAATAGTAACAATAATAGCACTAACAGTAGTAGTAGTAGTAGTAGTAGCAGTAGTAGTAGTAGTAGTAGTAAGAAGAAGAAGAATATTAGTCCTAATATAGGAATAGTGATAGTAATAGTAATAGTAATAATAATAGTAACAGTAATAGTAATAGTAGTAGTAGTAGTAGTAGTAGTAGTAGTAATCATGCCCAAAGTATCAACCAGGGCGCTCCACAAAGCATCATTGCCGCTCTCAAGGCTTGAGGACAATGACGTGCGACCTCGAGCACCACGCAGGGGACTGGGTGTATTCTTGTGATTGAACCAGAGGGGTATTGGCACTATTACTACTATTACTATGATTATTATTGCTATTATTACTATTATTACTACTACTATTATTAGTACTATCATTATTATGCTTTTTTTGAGCTTTCGATATGCTACGAGGCATATGCGGCTTTGCCAGCAAAGTGCTTCTATAGGGTAGCCACCTGCGCAGAGAGCATCGTCGGCCATGTCCGGCGCGTGCACAGCCACACCTGCAGAAGTCGCGATTCAGCATGTTCAGCAGCTTGCAGAGCCACGCCAAAAGCGAGCCAGAGATACATTGATGGATATATTCGAGATGGGTGCGCTGCCAGTGGAAACCATTGACCAGCTGACTGCTGCGCTGCAGGCACACGCCAGGGTTGCTATCCATTTTCACCCTGACCGCTTGGTGAAGGGAGGCGAGACTGTGGCTGGATCCATGTTGGCCACAGGCTGCGTCCAGAGCCAGTTCGAGTCGCAGATCTCTAACGGCAAGGTAGACTCTGCGCCAGGAGGGAAGCGAGACCAGTGGGAGAACAGATTGTTCGGCCAGGCCTACCAGGATGCAGCTCCCTTTTGGCGACCGAAGTACGGCGCATTGTTCCTACTCGGGCAATCAGATGGGCCCGCGCCGCGTTTTGGCTCCTGCTATTTTCTCCTGTCTCCTGATGCGACAAAGCGAGCTACCTTCTGCTACGGCGATTCGCATCTTGACCCTCCCATACGAGGCACCTACGAACTTTGGGAGGACGTTTTGTCGGAGCTGTTCCAAGAGAGCTTCACCAGGGATGGAACGCTGGGCCTTCATGGTTTGCGCCCTCCCGCGCTCGTGGGCCGAATGTTGGAGCTGTTGCAGGCACCGCTCAGTGACAAGCAGCTGGCCACAGCTTTAAGCTTCGGGATAGTTTTGTTTTGCCCCGAACGTATTCTACTAACTACAGGGCGGGGTTCACAGCACAACCTAGGTGGAGCTATCCAGCAGCGCGGAACTTGGATCACTACATCGAAGCGCAAGTGCACGGCCAGGTTGAACTGGGGCGGGATGTTGACGCCCTGGTTGCGGACCCATCGTTTAAAGGTACCCCGGTCGGTGCACAGCTGCAGAGCATAGCCAGCCAGTATGGCATGCTTCTCCATTGGCATGCTGGGTCCCAGTTGTGTGTAGATGCAGTCCCCAGGGACTTCCGCGGACCACGAATGCCAGCACTAGCTCACATGGTTGCACCGGAGGGCATGCTCACGCCGGCCTTGATCGGGGCTGCCGCTCGCAATGCAATCGAACCCAATGCGGACCAGCTGGATTTGGGCCCACCCGACAAGGTGCTTCAAGAGCTGAAATTGTTGTGGCACGTCTTGCTGCGCTATGGCGATCCCCTCAACGCATGAGGCAAGTTGGTGTCAACAATCCTTGAAGATGGCGTTTCAACCCTCGCCACACTGCAGCACAACCTTCTCATGCTTTCGGGGGTTGTGTGTACAAAAGAGACCCAGCCGCTCCGCTTCGGTGATTTGTGTACAGTGTACAGCAGCCCTTCCATGGCCAAGGATGTTCCTTTGAAGACCTCCTCACTGGCGTCTCCTCGAAGCTCTGTTTATGACCCTTCCCAAACAAACTAAGAGAGCTATGCGATGTTATGAAGGGTCCAAGGCGGACTACATGCCAAGCATGATAGCTACTGGACGCTGCCCAAGTGTTGTTGCTTCAGGGTTTGGGGGGCATATCACCTGTGTGTGCCATTGTCAACGACTCTTTTGACTGCACCCGCGGTTGGAAAAGTGCCAGTATGTTACTGGGTCGTGGCCTAGTAATTCATCATTTGCACGATGACCCTGGCTAAGACTTCTGATGCAACTCTTTGGAGGTTTCTGGACTTCAGTGCTGGTATTTGTGAGCATCGTTCTTGCGCGATTGCGATGGACAGCAACAGAGAGCGCAACATGCGCCTAGGGCAGCAGCGAGCCTATTACTGTTAGAATTTTCAAGGAAGACAGAGGGATCACTGTAACAAGGTCATCTGCGGTTTCCGATACTGGGCCGTGGCGCCACCGAAGCTCCAAGTAGTAGAGCCTGGAGTGTCGCGATTGTGTGATTGAGCTAGTCCTATGCCTGTTTGCCATCAGCAGAACAAAAACCCTGCCAGCTATACAAAACGAAAAGAGTCCCTGGAACAGGCTTAAACTTGGTGACAAGTGTTTGCATTGAAGGTTCCCTCCACGCAGCTCCACATTACGCTTAGGCCCAGCCAATGGCTGCGCTCGGCGGCGCTGCAAACTTGGCCTGACTGCCATGCAGAGCCTGCAGAAAAAAGACCTTCAGGCCGAGGCTTCCATGGGCATCTGCGGAGCACACGCAAGTTCACAAGCACTGCGGCAATGGCGGTTTGTACTGCAGGTGTGGGCTCAATTTGTCATTCGCTCGCTATAGCCTCGCTCGCCATCGCCTGCATGGGTCACGAACTTGTTGGTACCTTTGTAGCTGCTCTCAATACCAAGCAGGCCATTCACGCTGATATTTCAGGTAATGCCACAAAGCGTGCCTCTCTGTCATGGATTGGCTGACCGGAGTTTAAGTACCGCTGTGCAATTGTTTCTGTTTCTAGTCCTGCCAGGCTGCCAAAAACCAGCTGCACAGGAAAACTGAAGTCCTCAGCTTTCTTCTTAAGTCGACATTACCACTGTTACTAGTATGAATTACTATTACTTTACGACTACTGTCATTATTACTATTACTGTTTACTAGTTGGGGGGAGCGGCGAAGTCCAGCACACACCGCCACAGATGCTGGGTCTATAGTGTTCCAAGGGAATCAGAGGGCGCAGACCGCAAACTCCATGGGCCACATCGGAAAGGTGTTTCCAAAACCGCCAAACCTGAAGCGCAGCTTGCTGACCATGGAAATGGGCCACATGCAACAAAAACAAGTACAACTCTGGATCAGAAGAGCTCTGGTTTTGCCAGGCTTCAGAAAAACAAGCATGGCCCGACCATCTTCACACGATTGCGGAACGTTTGTTGGATTGTGGGGGTATGCCGGCACCGAATCTGCAGTCGTCAAGTCCAAGACTTGGGACTTGCGGACCAAAATTATGGTGCTGTTTGCTGAATGAATGCAGCATGGTACCACAAGTATGGCACCTGCTGCCGCAGCAGCAGAGAGATGGGTGGCTGTCGAACATGGGGTCTTCTTCGCGCACGCCCCTGAATGTTTCATTCTGTCATGATCTGGAGGTCCTTGCAGCCATTGCAGGGCTCAATAGCATGCAGATTGCACTTTTAGCTGCCAAGCAGTTGCTCTCCTCAGCTATACCTTGCAAAGCGGATCGCCAGTAGCACTACCCTTCTGGCATAGCTTGCTAAACTAGTGCTGCGAGCATTGGCATCCGAAGCCATTTCTACTTATGTTGGGACTCTTCACATATTAGGGTCAAGGCATCCTAAGCCAGCACCTTTCAACCTTAAAACCCTAAACCCCACCTGATACGTTGTGAGTATCTCTATATCTGGTGTAAAAGCTATAGAAGTCTGCAAAAAAATCACGAATCAGTTTCTGAACCCTACCGGAGGGTTCCACATGGCCCAAAGCCGGCATCAGATATAGAATCTTGGGCCAAGTAGGATTTTTTGCCGGCTTGGGCCGCGCCACGTGTGAAGGAGGCCATGGAGGCCGGACTGTAAGACAGGGCGGCTTTGCTTTGGGATGGGGGGTTGTGGCGGGGGGGGGGTAGGGTTCTTAGGTTTACTGTAATATCCTGGGGTTATATAAGGATAATGGAGAAGAACATGGAAACTACTACTTAGATTTTAGGGGCTTTCGGGTTTAGGGTTGCCGTTTAGGGTTCGTGTTTGGGGGCTTGAGGGCTTAGGGTCTCAGGATGCGGGTCTAAGGTTTCAGGTGTGGCTCTCTGAAGATAAATCGTTGTAGCATGGAAAGTAGTTAACTAGCTGTCTTGGGGCCAAGAAATTCTTGAATCAGCGTCGATACACAATCTTGTCCCCGCAATGTATATACCCGTGCATTTAGTAGTTGCAAGGAGGACGCTGAGGACGCATGTGTTTCGGCCTGATGAAATACCTTCAAAGTGTGATGTCCACCGCCGAGCAAAGGGATTCTGGCCCTGGCCTTGGAAGTATAATGATTTTTGGGGGGTTCCTTAAATTAAGGGTGCCATTTTGGGGGTCCCCATAATAAGGAATATAGCATTTTGGGGTCTACATTGGGGTCCCCCCTATGCTGGGAAACTACCATATTTTAATTCGTGGAAGCGTTTGCAGCTACAATTAGGATAGTGACTGCTATCAATCAGTACAGCTGCTGACATTCTATACAATACATTCTGCATTCATCTAGTTCTGTTTTCTCTAGCGCATCCTTGCTACTAAGGGAACTTCTCAACAACAGCCCCGCCGGGAGGGATCCTCAAATTAGTTGAGATCGGGGAGGGAACCTGATTTGCAGAACGTCCCCAACTCAACCCCTGTACTATCCTCAATAGGGACCACCCTAATTCCTTCGCACTCACCACATATATTCCTCCCTCAATGCCACTCAATCCCAGAAGCTCAATCCCTAGTCCTCTTCAAAAAATGACAGACCTTAAACCCTTTGCATCCGTAAGCGCCTTTAAAGCGAGACCTCGGGTAGCCCCCCAATGATAGAAACAATTCTCTAGGAATCGAAGTTTATGAGTTCAACTTGAGGGTGCGTGGCTTGGGGTTCAAGATGCATGGTACGGTTAGAGGATGTTTCGGATGTAGGAATCTGCTTGAAGCTTGGAATCCAGGTGCTTGGCTATGTGATTGCTTCCCACTCCCTAGATGTGGCTGAATCGCTTTCCGGTGCAATTTCGGCGGCCACCCTCGAAACAGGTAACTTTGTTGCTTTCCCATCAGTGCTGTAACAGGGACTGAAATGTGGTGCTTTGAGGTGCCACATACCGTGATCTCAATTGTGGGTTTATATGGTTTGTCGGGTTTGCAGCATTTAGGATTACAGTGTGCCATTTGGGTCGGTCCCATGTGCATAGCCAGAGTCCAGAGACATCCCTGTAGAGAAGCCCACCGAAGGCCATGTTGGTGTGTGTCTAGCTAACCTTGGGAGTGCCCGAGCTCGGAATTGAGCGGTATTCTATTTGGGGAGATTATGGTACCCAATATAGAGTAAGATTCTATCCTCTTTTTGGGGTATAGTATTTTATATCAGGAACACAATCTTACTGGGTTTGACCACCAAAAAAGCGCTACTTAATTGAGGGGTAGCCTAGAGCGCCACCCTTAGCCGACATTTGTTGTCCCAGGGTCCACAGTGGTTGCTGAGGCCGCAGTAGAGTTTCCTTAAGGGTCTATGCACTAAATAGCCCTACACATCCGCAAGGCCCTTTACAGGGTATTTCAGGCTACCCCGAACGAAGGACACAACTTTCTGCCACAGGTCGGGGGGAGATCCGCCTTGACGACCTTCAGGAGGTGGTATGGGGTGGTTCGAGAAAAAGGGGTGTCCTTTAGAACTTTTTTGAGAGGGCTACAGGGATGTATACATCAATTTTTCGGAAGGTTTTTAGAGGTATATAGGGCTTACGGACTAGGATTTCGCAGTTCGGGTTTAACCAACCGGGGTGGGTGCTTAGGGATCCTAGCATTGGGAACTCCACTTGCGAAAGTAAACATGTTGAGATATCTGCAGCAGTCAGAGAGAAACCATGTGATGCCGCCAATCGCATTCGCATCTTATTTGCCTCCCCAGAATCAGCGTGGAAGCCAAAAAGTCTCTTTTTGAAAGGACTGTAGCCTTTGTTCTGCCGCTTTTTAGCCTCCATGTTAGCTTGGGGGAGGCTACTGCTTGGTGATTGCTAGACTTGCATTTGTTGCCATGTTCTTGCTGTGCTGTCATTTTGTTCTGACAGACACATCACTGCTGTGATGACAGTGGCTATGAGAAGTGTTGTCATTTGCATTGGCTTTATTCTTGCGCCCATCATTACCCAGCATACGCCCGCGTTGTTTGTCCAGGCCTCTAACCGAGAGCAACATGGACCTGGACATTGAGGTCAGCGCCAAAGCTCGAACATGATCGTCTTTATCTGATCAAGTGTACATTGGATGGTCCAGCTGGCCTTACCCGCGCAAGCGGGCCCAAAGAGCCTCATATTTGCCAACCGCACTCCATTACCCGGAGCCCCAAAGCCCTAAGCCCAATTCTTCAACTCCTAAGGAAAAGCCCAATTCCTCATTGTTCATATCACTATTACTCCCCTTCTCTTGGATACCTCATCCTTAAACACTACTTGGAGGGTCAGGGGGACTTAAGTAGGTTAACAATGGAGATAACTCGGTTACTATATGGGTTATAGGGGTTATTAACCTAGTTACTAAGTCCCCCCGACCTTCCA